TTCCTTCCTTCCTTCCTTCCTTCCTTCCTTCCTTCCTTCCTCATTCTCATTTCCTTCCTTCCTACCTGCCTTCCTTCCTTCCATTCTCATTCTCATTCTCATTCTCATTCTCATTCTCATTCTCATTCCCTTCCCCTTCCTTCCTTCCTTCCTTCCTTCCTTCCTCCCTCCCTCCCTCCCTTCCTTCCTTCCTTCCTTCCTTCCTTCCTTCCTTCCTTCCTTCCTTCCTTCCTTCCTTCCTTCCTTCCTTTTCCCCTTCCCTCCCTGAATGCAGCTCCCGTCAGTTCTTCATTGGGGAGGAACTTAATTGGGGTCCTTAAGCAGCAAAAGAAAGGGAAACAAGAAAAAAGGGCCCAACCTTTCGTCACAACTCCAACAAAGCAGTGGCCCATTTCCACAAAAGGTTTCCAAGCCCCGAGGGAGGCAGGCCCACTCTTCACCCAGAACGGCAGGTGAGAAAGCTTGGACCCCGAATTCAGTCTGAAGGCCCCCCCCCCTCCCTTTTTTTTGGCTCTCCTTCCAGGACGGCGTTGTGAAACGGTGTTCAATGGCTGCCAGGAGGGACCTTGCCAGAATGGGGGCACCTGCGCCGTGGCCAGCAACACAAAACACGGCTACATCTGCAAGTGTCCTCCGGTATGTGGCCGGCCGGCATTTGTTTGGGCAGAGGCAGAAGGGGGGGGGGGAATGGGGGGGGGGGGCTCAGACGGGGTGCTGAAGCCCACAACTTCTTCACACCTGGATTGTGGTGGGACGGGTGGAGCTAGCTTCCTTCAAGACTTAGGGGGCTGAGTTTGCCCCAGGTGGGAAACTGAGCCAGCTTTCGGGAGGGTCTGTCAGGACACCCCCAGGGGGGAAGTTTCATGGTTCCACACCTAGTGCACACAGAGGAATTACAGACAAGTCCTTGGCTTACGACGTTAACCGAGCCCACAGTTTCATTTGTGCGTCAAAATGCTCATGAAATGGGGAAGGGCTGTTTTCGAGGGACAGAGCTCACCTAGAGTCCAGGGTCCAGTCCTTCCAAAGGGTCCAGAGAAAGGGAAAGGATTGGGGGCCAGAGGGCTCAGCTGGAAGGTCCGAGAAGAGAAATGGGAGAGTCTGGAAGTATTGTGCCACAAGAAGAGGACGAGGCTCAGGGGCAGGAAAAGGCAGAGAATCTCCTTTTGTGTGGAATGTGGAACTCCAGAACTCTAGGGAGTGGTTGTGATGACCCAAAGGGGCATGGCACAAAAGCAACAAAGTCACAAAAGTAGGTAAAGTCCCTTTAATACCTCCAACTTGGTCCTCAATGTCCAGTTATCATCGGCTGGAGAAAAAACTCTCCCAAGAACAGTTTTTAAAGGGAAGAAATTCCGTCCAACCCAAAGTACATCTAAATTATCAATAAAAACCAACACAAACCACGTTGCAGCAATTAACGAGACAGGGCAGGATAAGGAATTGCAGAACTCAAAAGATAATGAAACACACACAGTTGGGAGGACGCCAGAACCCATATAAGATGTGACAAACAAAGATAATTCACGCTTTGCTTCCAGCAAGGTACGGTTGGCAAATGCTCTTTTTAAATCCTGTTTTCCCAGCTGCAGCTAATGAAGGGAATCAGGGCCCTTTCCTCCCCCGTAAACCACATTGCTCCCTTCTCCGTTTCTCCCTGCGTGCCCTAGGATGAAGAAGGGATGGCCCTGGGTCTTCCTCTGAATGCCCAGCCGGCCTGTGCCCTTCCCCAGTTTCCTCCACAGCCACCAGAGCCACACTCCCATTCCCTGTCAGCTGTTCAGCCTCCCCCTCGGAATCAGATTCCAACAGGGGCATGACAGCGGTTATGAAACCTCTCAATTCTAAGGAGTGGATGTGGAACCCCACAATTCTAGGAAGGCAGCTTTTGATGGCACTTAGGACAGACCTGAGAGCCCTCTGATGGCAGCCCCCCAAGGCCAGGGCTGGGGTACCCCTCCCCCCTTGGCCAGATGGCCCCTGGTCTGGAGCTCTTGTCCCCCAGTCTGGTTGGTCCTTCCTTCATTTCCGCCTTCTTCCCCTCTCAGGGCTTGGACGGCATCACGTGTGAAAACGACCTGCGCAGCTGCGGGATGCTGCGGTGCCTGAACGGCGGCACCTGCGTCCCCAGCGCCAGGCAGTCCAGGTGCATGTGCGCGCCGGGTTTCACCGGCCCCGAGTGCCAGTTCCACGCGCACAACCCGTGCCACTCGGGCCCCTGTTACAACGAGGGCACTTGCCAGTTCAGCCCGGAGCCGCCCCACTACCGCTGCCTCTGTCCTGTCAACTTTAACGGCCTGAACTGCCACCTCCTGGACTTTGAATTCCCCGGGGGGCCTGGCCAGGACATCCCCCCTCCCCTGGTGGAGGAGAAGTGCGAAATCCCCGGCTGCCCCGGCCTCGCTGGCAACAAGATCTGCAACGCCGAGTGCAACAACCACGCCTGCAGCTGGGACGGCGGGGACTGCTCGCTCAACTTCAACGATCCCTGGAAGAATTGCACCCAGGCCCTGCAGTGCTGGAACTACTTCAATGACGGGAAATGCGACGTCCAGTGCAACAACAGCGGCTGCCTCTACGACGGCTTTGACTGCCAGAAGGT